TTACTAGTAAGGCCAGGAGCTACTAGTAGCGTCCTTGCTCCTAGTAGTGATGCCCTTTGTTCCCAGTAGCTTCTTGTTACTAGCAAGGCCAGGAGCCACTAGTAGCGTCCTTGCTCCTAATAGGGATGCCCTTTGTTTCTAGTAGCTTCTTTTTACTAGTAAGGCCAGGAGCTACTAGTAGCATCCTTGCTCCTGGTAGCGATGCCCTTTGTTCCTATAGCTTCTTGGTACTAGTATGGCCAGGAGCTACTAGTAGCGTCCGTGCTCCTAGTAGCGATGCCATTGTTCCTAGTAGCTTCTTGTTACTAGTAAGGCCAGGAGCTACTAGTAGCGTCCTTGCTCCTAGTAGCGATGCCCTTTGTTCCTAGTAGCTTCTTGTTACTAGCAAGGCCAGGAGCTACTAGTAGCGTCCTTGCTCCTAGTAGTGATGCCCTTTGTTTCTAGTAGCTTCTTGTTACTAGCAAGGCCAGGAGCTACTAGTAGAGTCATTGCTCCTAGTAGCGATGCCCTTTGTTCCTAGTAGCTTCTTGTTACTAGTAAGGCCAGGAGCTACTAGTAGCGTCCTTGCTTCTAGTAGTGATGCCCTTTGTTCCTAGTAGCTTCTTGTGACTAGAGTTCAAACCAAGCACACGAATGTCTACTTGGGGAGGGATTCAGTCCATAGCAGTTCACGAAATTGACTTGGGACAAATTGTGAGGATACCGGCCAATACCGGAAATTAGGATTATCTTGCCTATCATCATCCCTCCTGTCAACAAAGCAAAGATCAGACCATCTGAAGAAAAACAAGGAGGCCTTCCTTGATGGTCGTCCAGCCACATATTCAAGCTAAGGCTCCACAAAAGTGTCGAACATATTCATCGGTTCAAACATCCACACCCAGGTGTCAGCTCGAAGCCGTAAAAAGTACTCCAACACGAAAATCACCACAAAGGCATACTCGGCTGCAGGAATGAAAGCCGGCCTCCCAAGACTACTGCTGACAGATTCATCTCATGGAATGTTTGCAAACTTGTGACCTTGTAAATGAGCACGCAGAAATTGGAAAACAACAAGAAATTGAACGTGCAATGTGTGTTGTTCATTTCGTTTGTTGTTTGTGCATCAATGACCAGTGTGTTGCAAGCACGGGCTCAAGAAAATGCAGAGAGGGAAAAAATATCAATTGTAGAAAATGTATTACTAAAAAAATATGCAAAAAATGCCGTGACTTCGCCGATTCTGCCTGAGATGTGCTTCTTCTGGCAAGTACATGGCATCAATTCCGGAGATGATGCCATTCACGACAATCAATGCACCGATGAAAGCTTCAAAACGCAGCGACTCCACCATTGCTTTCAAGGATGGGTGCCTCGGGCCGTAGCAAAGGGCATCGCTACTAGGAGCAAGAACGCTACTAGGGGCTCCTGGCCTTACTACTAGGAACAATGTTCGCTACTAGGAACAAAAATGTCCGTATTGATTTCTTTGAAAAAAAACTCCAATCTGAAACACGCCAATAGAATGGTGACCTGAACGAACAGCACAACTCCACTCTGCCCAGGGAGCCCATGAGAGTCCAAGTCTCGGAGGGTTCTCAGCAACTGCAATCTTCCGAATAGCGATTACCATGCCTCGATGGTGCCGATCATCGAACCAGCATGGACTTCACTGCCACTTACATCCTCTTAGGTTGGAGGCCATCGCCCTTAGGTTGGAGGCCATCGCTACTACGGTGGAGGCCATTGCTATTAGGTTGGAAGCTATTACTACAAATTCCTCTTCCTGGGAGGCCCTTGGATGGAACGCTTGTAGGAGAAGCAACTACATGGTAGGCGCGTGCAGACGACCGTCCGTTGTTGGATCGTCAGTGATGTCAACATTAATTGTATTTACAAGGTCTTGCGGCGTTCGCATGAAACTCATGGTTGCCAAGCGCCAACTATACAACTACTTGGAGACATTGTTCAGTGCCCGAATGCCGAAATCTGCCGAGCCATTGCTTCTGCTGGCAAGCTGGGAATTTGGTGAGCATCCCCAAGCTGCCAGTTTAGAATCGGGAAGCTGCGGCGACGGCCTACCCCCTCCACCCCGACACGCCACACATGGCCTGGCGCGCCGAAACGACACAAGCGACACGCGGGTCTTCCGCCAGCCTATATACATGCAAGCATATGCAAGCATGCAACAGGGCGTGAATTCTGTGAGGTTTATTTGAAGAATTCCTTTGAGGAATTCCTTTGTATGTGAAGTTTCTTGCCAAACGACGAAAATTAAAAATCATCCCAAAGAACATACTCCTGTGTCAAGAGCATCCTCCTCAGGAGTGGTCCTAGGCAAGGTTCTGAGCCACATCGTGGTTAAGAATGGCTCTGTGGTTGCCTGGTTTGGCTGAGTGTGAAGCGGGATGTCAAGAGCGCTGAACAGCCCAATGGCATTCACTGGACAGACAGGCGCACATTGAAGCCAAGTCTGCCGCCAAGAGCCTGGTGAGTTGCCAGTTTGGGAACATAACGAAGAAAATCAAGCCCATCGCACAGCTTTGGCCCGACATGGTCGAAGCTACCGGGGCAGCCCGGCTCCTGCAATTCAATCCACCACTTTCCACTCCAAGTCAATTCATCCAGTCTTGCAGGCGCTTCTCAACCATGCGCCTGCACTAGTGGAGGTTCCCACAAGAGGACATTCAAAGGTTTTGGGTCTGGACTGGCTGCATACTGGCAACAATGAGCCGAGCATGGCTGGCTTACTTTGTCAATGGGTTCGAGCTCAACCCATCGTTGCGACTCTCGGCCTGCGTTGGACCTGCCTGACAATACAAACGATGAGAACTTGGTTGCTTGAGTGTGCCAGATTTGGATCCGTGGCACTGCCAGTAAGTGAAGGCCGGTCAGTTTTGATGGGCAACCGCGGTGTCCGTACAAACTGAGATAGCACGAGTTACTGCTGCTGACGGAATCTAATCGACATGGCCTCCAACCAAATAGTGATGACCTCCAACCTAATAGCGATGGCCTCCACCGAAGTAGCGATGGCCTCCAACCTACTGGCGATGGCCTCCAACCTAATAGCGACAGCCTCCAGCGTACTAACGGTGGCCTCCAATCTGATAATATATGTGTCTGCGCGGGCGAACAATTTTGATATAATCTGCACCAAGGCACGGAACCAAAGAATGCCAGTCGCTCTCTGAAGCTTTAATGAGCAGGTCCAGTCCTCGCAGCAAACGCATCCGAACTGACATGCCTGTGGATGCGTGAGGACCGGTTTAGGGCAGTTGGTGACAGCTGGTACATCCTGTTGGGTTGATACGACTGGGTGACCGGGCGCTACGAAAATCATACTCACAGCGTTGCAAATTGGTTTTGCTGCGCAAGTCATAGACTAGCGCACTAATTGCAAAGTTGTGGTTGTCATCCGATCTGTCATGGGGAAATGCAAGGTGGGAAGGTTGGGAATCGAACCTGAAACCTTCTTACGACTACAAGTCAAGTTGCCAGGAAAACAGTGAATCAAAAGTAAGCAACCAGGAAAGACCAAAAAATTGAAAATGCGTTGGTAGCGTTTGTTCTCGAGTGTGCTCGCTAGCTCTCTTGGACACCGTAAAGACCTGCAGGAACTGTTTGGCGCATCAAGACCTCGGCCTTGTCGTCCAAATTTTCACGGATGTTGTTGCGCAAAAAACACATAATATGATAATATGTGAACGTTTACTTGCAGATATGGAAGTACTTGTCAAAATTGTTTTCGTGAATCTGGATTTGTGGTCACACATGTTATCGTTTCCATGACGATGAGCTAACAACTCCTGGAATTGTAGGCAAAATGTCACGTGCAAAGGCTTCTCACGACGCGAGCCTCTGGGGAAAGGTTTGTGAAAGAAAGGTCCAAACAGTTTGTGTTCATGTGCAACATGTCTGTCTAACATGTTCCTTGCGTACAAAGCGTTCTCAAAGCGTTCTCAAAGTCCGAATCTAAGTTTTCCGGAATTTATAACGGTCCAACGAAGAGAAAGATACTGTAAAAGAACAAATCTGTCAAACTCTCCACTATTCTGCAACTCTGTCCTCCTCGTTCTCTGGGTATCCAACCGCCTCTCTGGCTCTCGCTTTTACATTTTCACCCGCATTCTCCATCGAGCCCCAAGACTTGGAAGCTTTCCTCAGAGTAACGTGATGCCCTGAGCACGATCACTTTCTGGCCGGTTTCCGACGAAACCATAATTGCTGAATATTATTGCAATTATCTACAGTAGAACTACTACTACTACTACTACTGCTACTACTAGCAATGATTATGTTACTAGTGTCAACAGTGTTAGTAGTGCTGGTAGCAGTAGCAGTAGCAGCAGCAGCAGCAGCAGTGGTGGGAGTGGTAGTGGTAGTGGTAGTGGTAGTGGTAGTGGTAGTGGTCGTGGTCGTGGTCGTGGTCGTGGTCGTCGTCGTCGTGGTGGTAGTGGTAGCGGTGGTAGTAGTAGTAGTAGCAGCAGTAGTAGTAGTAGTAGCAGTTGTTGTTGTTGTCGTCGTCATCGTAGTAGTCGTCGTAGTAGTAGCGGTAACAGTAGTGGTGGTGGTGGTGGTGGTAGTAGTAGTAGTAGAAGCAGCAGCAGCAGCAGCAGTAGTAGTAGTAGTAGTAATAGTAGGAGTAGTTGTTGTTGTAGTTGTAGTTGTGGTTGTAGTACTAGTAGTAGAACCAGTACTAGTACTACTAGTACTAGTACTAGCAGAAGTAGTAGCAGTAGTAGTCGTCGTCGTGGTGGTGGTGAGGGTGGTGGTGGTGGTGGTAGTCGTGGTGGTGGTAGTAGTAGTAGTTGTTGTTGTTGCTATTGTTGTTGTAGTCTAGTAGCGGTAACCGCACTGGCACAATCATGCAGCAGCAGTGGCAGCAGCAAAAGTAGTAGCCGTTGTCGTGATAGTAATCGTCATCGTCGTCGTAGAAGTAGTGGTAGTGGTAGTGGCGGTGGTAGTGGTAGTGGTAGCAGCAGTGGTGGTAGTGGCGGGCGGTAGCAGTGGCAGCAGCAATGGCAGAAGAAGTAGCAGTAAGGGGGTAGAGAAGGTGAGAGTAAGTAGTAGTAGTAGTAGTAGTAGTAGTAGTAGGAGCAGCAGTAGTAGTAGGCGTAGTAGTAGGCGTAGTAGTAGTAGTAGTAGTGGAGTAGTAGTAGTAGTAGTAGTAGTCGTGGTGGTGGTGGTGGTAGTAGTAGTAGTAGTGTTGGCGTTAGTGTTAGTGTTTGTGTTAGTGTTGTTAGTATGAGTGTTGTTAGTGTAAGTGTAAGCGTCAGTCTTAGTGGTAGTAGTAGTAGTAGTAGGAGTAGTAGTAGTAGTAGTGGTAGTAGTAGTAGTAGTGGTAGTAGTAGTAGTAGTGGTAGTAGCGGTAGTAGTAGGATTCGTTGTATTCGCGGTAGTGGTGGCCTTGCAAGTAGTAGTAGAAGGCGTAGTAGGAGGAGGAGGAGTAGGAGTAGTAGTTGTTGTTGTTGTAGTCGTCGTCGTCGTAGTCGTAGTAGTCGTCGTCGTCGTCGTAGCCGTAGTCGTCGTAGCCGTATAGCCGTCGTCGTCGTCGTCGTAGCAGTAGCAGCAGCAGCAGCAGTAGCAGTAGCAGTAGCAGTAGCAGTAGCAGTAGCAGTAGCAGTATAGTAGTATCAAGATTGATAGTCAGACATGATGTTGTTGTGAGGTTGTCTAAACGCCAGCCGTCCGCGGCATACGCCTCGAAAGGAGGGAAAACAAATTCCTCGACAACCGGCGTGGATCTCACGATTGAAATACGCTAGATCCAACGCCTCACTCTCCTCCACTGCGACCTCCAAAAAATCCAGGCAAATCCAGCTGCTTGGCGATCCTCTCAAAGATGTCACTTGCAAGCATCGACTTGCCCAGGCGTGTTCCACCGATGATGGCCAGGACAGGCCGGCGGAAGGAGATCCATCATGGACTCACGCAGGGATATAAACTCCTTGACAACCTCAAAAGCGGTAAGGAAACAACGCTGGGGCTCTTTTGGCAGCAAGAGCCTGGCCGGCAATCGCACCTGCTCATGGCCGAGGGAAAAAGGAGAGTGCCAACAGCGCCCCCCAATACAACCCCAAAACAGCCAGCATACGGCAACAAACAACCACCCCAGCAGCAACAGCAGCAGCAGCTACCAAGCAGCAGCAGCATCAGCAGCAGCTACCAAGCAGCAGCAGCAACAGCACCATCTACCAAGCAGCAGCAGCAGCAGCTACCAAGCAGCAGAGGCAGCAGCAGCAGCAGCAGCTACCGAGCAGCAGCAGCAGCAGCAGCAGCCACCAAGCAGCAGCAGCTGCAGCAGCAGCAGCAGCCACCAAGAAGCACCAGCAGCAGCAGCAGCTACCAAGCAGCAGCAGCAGCAGCAGAAGCAGCAGCTACCAAGCAGCACCACCAGCTACCAAGCAGCAGCAACCAAGCAGCAGCAGCAGCAACAACAACAACAAGCAGCAGCAGCAGCAACAACAACAACAACAAGCAGCAGCAGCAGCAGCAACAGCTACCAAGCAGCAGAAGCAGAAGCAGCAGCAGCAGCAGCAGCAGCAGCTACAAAGCAGCAGCAGCCAAGCAGCGCAGCAGCAGCTACCAAGCAGCAGCAGCAGCAGCTACCAAGCTACCAAGCTACCAAGCAGCAGCTACCAAGCAGCAGCAGCAGCTACCACCAAGCAGCAGCAGCAGCAGCAGCTGCTACCAAGCAGCAGCATCAGCTACCAAGCAGCAGCAGCGTCAGCAACAGCAACAGCAGCAGCAGCAGCAGCAGGATCAGCAGCAGCTACCAAGCAGCAGCAGGAGCAGCAGCAGCAGCAGCTACCAAGCAGCAGCAGCAGCAGCAGCACCAGCTACCAAGCAGCAGCAGCTGCCAACCAGCAGCTACCAACCAGCAGCAGCTACCAAGCAGCAGCAGCTACCAAGCAGCAGCAAGCAGCCAGCTGCAGCAAGCAGCAAGCAGTAAGCAGCCAACAGCCAGCAGGCACCAGCCGCAGCAGCAGCAGCAAGCAGCAGGTACCAGGCTGCAGCAGCAGCAGCAGCAGCAGCAGCAAGGAGCAGGTACCACACAGCAGCAGCAGCAGCAAGCAGCAGCTACCGAGCAGCAGCAGCCAAGCAGCAGCAGCTACCAAGCAGCGGCAGCAGAAGCAGCAGCTACCAAGCAGCAGCAGCAGCAGCTACCAAGCAGCAGCTACCAGCAGCTACCAGCAGCAGCAGCAGCAGAAGAAGCATCAGCTACCAAGCAGCAGCAGCTAGCAAGCAGCAGCAGCCACCAAGCAGCAGCAGCAGCAGCTACCAAGCAGCAGGAGCATCAGCTACCAAGCAGCAGCAGCTACCAAGCAGCAGCAGCAGCAGCCACCAAGCAGCATCAGCAGCAGAAGCAGCAGCAGCAGCTACCAAGCAGCAGCAGTAGCAAACCACCAAGCAACAGCAGCAACAGCAGCAAAAGAGCAGCAACAAAGAAACATAAAAACAGGAGCAGCAGCAGCGACAAAGAAGCAGCAACAGCAGCAAAAGAGCAGCA